CTCAGGCTTGCTTCTGCTTCTACTCAGCATTCAGGATCATTTAGTCTATGCCACATTGTCCGGGAAGTAAGAAAGGGAAGGAGGTACCACCTACAAAGCGGTTAAACTCGCGCTCCAGCAAAGCGGCACTAAGTATCCGCGGTCGCGTCGCCCATGGCTTTTGATTGGAGCGCATTAATTGACAGAATCGCCAATCGCACCTCCTATTCGATGAGCTAAAAAAATTAAAAGGGTAAAAATTAATACAAATTGAATTAAATTAAAAATTAAATAACTAAATTTTCTTCAGTGAAAATCATTTCAGAAGTAATAGCAGATTCTGAATGCACGAGATTTCTGGTTTCAAATTTAATGAGTTCTTTTGCAAGAACATCTTTCCTCGAGAGTTGGAGGCGTCGAGGATCTCTCGAAGAATTTTCCGATCAAATCAAACACCCTGCTCCTTCTTCGCCGATGTACGGAACTTCTTTGAAACCCTCAAAACTCAAGGAGACATCACCTCGATGAAGTGGATTGGAAATAATACGTTTGGCACAGATCCATCCTTTCTAGTATGCGCCATGCAGTGGCCCCCTCGAACTCACTTAAAAGGTGTTTGTCGTACAACATCGGCGAGTCAAATGATGTTTCTAGACTTGATTAATTGATTAGCCGTTTATGGTCTCAGCATAGTTTGTTCATTCCTTCATTGACATTATCCTTTCCAACCCCGATTCCTATGAATGAGGCACATTGCGGCTGCAGTATGTGATGATGTCAAAAAGCCTGCACATCTTTCCGTTTGAATTTTCTACTGAAATCCTGCCCTTCACAGGATTCTGAAAGCGCATACATTAAATTAGAATAGATTTTCATTAGATAAACCTGGATTCTTTCACAAGACATTTTATTTCCCCGTGCCATCGTACTGATCACCACAGCCGCCAACAGGGACATCCCATTTTAATATCTCACACACTTTGAGATCAATATTTGCTTTACTATGGCTAATTTAGTGACGACAATGAGTGAGTGGCAGCAGCTCCGTTGTGTCCGTTCTATGTATGCCTGTATTTCTGAGATTTTGGGAAATTCTTAGGTGGACGTATAATTATGGGACGCAGTGTAGGTCCCTGCGCTTAAGACCTCTTACCTACTTGCGGAGCGAACACGACCTCCTAACGAGGATTTCTTTGATAGGAGATCAACATTGCGATGATGTCCATGTAAGATGTCGAACGGTGGGCGGACCTTGATTTGCTCGGATGGAATTTGATCGAAGTCCATTTCACCTAGCGTCTTATTGACGCATTTCGATATTCGAAGGTGGTGCGACCTCTGTCTGCAGTGGCGGATGACACACCTCCATCCATGGGAGCAACAACTTCGGTAAGGCTAACCCTGGATCTTGTCTCTAAGTAGGCGAGATTCCACTCGTATTGCTTTTCCTCCAATTTTAGTACTGGTGGGGAGAGGTTTCTTCCAGAATACCGTTGTATTGTAATATACATAGATGCAATCATTTATTTAGATTTGATACTTCCATCCTTTTTTCGATATCATTACTGGATTAACCCAGCAACCATATCCTCTTCGAATCCACAGTCGTTGATTCCACGAATCATACGGAAGTAACCTGCAAAATAATCCTTTACGATAAAGATGGCTGTTCGTATCAGCTTCAAATTCCAGGTATAATGAATCCCGAAAATATTTGGAAAGGTGCATATCGAGAGTGCTGTGTAGACGTATATGACCACTGTGGACCGCGCAACAACACGCCAGCGCATGATTAGGGTTCGTTATCACTGATCTTTTCACCACTTCTTTGGATTTTCATGAAACATATTCGGTAAACTTTTCCAAGCACAGAAATTGTAATATTTTCGGATACAATTACTGCAAGATTGGTTACTCATAAAACAGATGACATCGTCATCACCATCATCAAACAGAATCCTACGAAGGTGCATAAATAACGGCGGTCCACAGTAGACTGATCCTTATGAACTCTGCGAAACTCACCCTTCTCTCCCCAATCATTGTGCCACGAGTTGGCAACGAGCCAGTAAGCTGTTCCGTTTTCCGTTCCCCATCCTATAACCTTCACTGCATGGCCACCCGCTTCATCACCCCATGTGTGCTATAACAAAGAGTTGTGAAAAGCATTCGAAACCTTTTGCAAAGAAGAATTATACCACACAACTGTGTCAATACACGGGACGCAGCTGAAGCATTGTTGGCCTTGTGGCAAAGACACAAAGAGGAAATCTACACTTTTGGACTTGACGAGGATGAATAAGAGATTTACTCAAGGCTACTCTGGAGTGCAATATCTTTCAATTCGACCAGAAATGTTATGCTCGGTCAGACAATGGGATTAAGAATAGCTCCACTGCTAGCAATTGTATATTTGGACCATTTGGAACGAAGATCGTTAACCGCTGGAATAATTTTCTACAAGAGGTACATAGACGACGTATTCATAGTCGGCTCCTCTTCTAATGAACTGGAAGAAACACTTGAACAATTTGAATTCACAAGATCCCAATATCCAGTTTACTGTAGAAAATCCGAATGTGGAGGGTTTTGTTCCATTCTTAAATACAAAAGTCCGAATAAGAGAATGGGGCTACAGAATTAGTTTGGTATAAGAAACCAGCATCAAAAAATGTATTATTGCACGCTAGAAGCTGCCATCCTACATGAAAGCCAACATAGTACGGAACCTAATAACCACCAAGGAGAAAATTTGTACCCAACAATCGGACGAAGTAGATTCGATGGTGGATGATATTCTAAGGGAGGACGGTTATGTGAAAGCACCAATATGCAGTGCGCGTCAATTGTATATGCCACCCCCTGATTTTTTCAGTTTTCTGACTTATTTGGAAATTTCGTAAATCGGCATAGCAACCATCGTTTTCGGCGTGTCGGAAAACTAAGAATGGTGTTGTTTGATTTTGGTTAACGCGTGGATTTGAATTGCTCTGTTCTTTTGAAGAAAATGGGCCGCGTCAATTGCTTATGCCATCCTAAAGTTTCTTCAGAATTTCTCATGTCTCTAACGCTATTCAGCTACGGTGTGCATGTAGTACAAATGAGGAAATCCTCCACTTATGCAATGCACACAAATGGTGGAGCATTTATAACTAATTAGTTCGGAATATTAGCCCTTATACTGGACGGTAGCAGCATGAAAACGCTTTATCAGAGAAAGTGCTGTGTGCTCACTCTTGCGATCGCTCCTGCTGCTTATTGTAGAACTCATCGAGGAGTGTATCCAGGCAAAACTGGGGAAATTGAAGTGCTCAAGGAGCTCTTAAATTCTCATTTTCCCGCTTCGAATCCGTGGTCAACTTTATTTGTGGTCTTGGCTCCCTGCGAAGCTCGAAGCGTTCACGCTCACAAAGTCTCTTTTTAGAGAGAACATGACTCGTACCTACTACCCGTCTGGTACCCATCACTGAACTCGATCGAAGTTTTCTTATCAAGGCGATGCAATGATGGCCCATGCCACCACTTCGGTGTCCCGTTCAAGTTACAACTGGCCCATGTCATCATTTTCGCTCGCTCGGTACGAAAAATTTTTCAGAGAGAATCCGACAAAGTTCGGCGATGGGTACTACGCGGATTGTGAGTGCAACTCATATTCTCTCCGCTCACAAAGTCTCTGTTCAGAGAGAATATGAGTTGCACTCACAATCCGCGTAGTACCCATCGCCGAACTTTGTCGGATTCTCTCTGGAAAAATTTTCGTACCGAGCGAGCGAAAATGATGACATGGGCCAGTTGTAACTTGAACGGGACACCGAAGTGGTGGCATGGGCCATCATTGCATCGCCTTGATAAGAAAACTTCGATCGAGTTCAGTGATGGGTACCAGACGGGTAGTAGGTACGAGTCATGTTCTCTCTAAAAAGAGACTTTGTGAGCGTGAACGCTTCGAGCTTCGCAGGGAGCCAAGACCACAAATAAAGTTGACCACGGATTCGAAGCGGGAAAATGAGAATTTAAGAGCTCCTTGAGCACTTCAATTTCCCCAGTTTTGCCTGGATACACTCCTCGATGAGTTCTACAATAAGCAGCAGGAGCGATCGCAAGAGTGAGCACACAGCACTTTCTCTGATAAAGCGTTTTCATGCTGCTACCGTCCAGTATAGGGCTAATATTCCGAACTAATTAGTTATAAATGCTCCACCATTTGTGTGCATTGCATAAGTGGAGGATTTCCTCATTTGTATTACATGCACACCGTAGCTGAATAGCGTTAGAGACATGAGAAATTCTGAAGAAACTTTAGGATGGCATAAGCAATTGACGCGGCCCATTTTCTTCAAAAGAACAGAGCAATTGAAATCAACGCGTTAACCAAAATCAAACAACACCATTCTTAGTTTTCCGACACGCCTACTCACATACTCAAGGCCCTATGAAGAAAAATGCGGCAGAGAGGGTTGTAGCTACTGTATTGATTCAAAATATGTCAGCTCAGGGGGTCAGTTTACTTAGTAGAATGTCAAGGATGTGGGCAAAAATATGTCGGAGAAACGATGAGACCTCTTCATAGAAGGCTAGACGAGCACCGCAGGGCACTGAGAAATCCGTCAGCTTATCCTAATAGCAGTTTCTCCAGACATCGTACAAAAGAACATGCACAAGAAGAACCCCCTACACTAGTAGTTAAAGTGCTACACCGCTCAATAGAGAGCACAATGGAAAGGAAAATACTGGAAGCCCTTGAGATAAAACGCTTATCACCCGAAATAAACAGCAAGGAAGAGCTACGTGACATCCTTCAAATTGTCACATAATATCATGCATTCCAATCGCTGCATGGCCTTCCTAATATTTAAGGGTGCGAGCAGGGTAGGTTATCCAATTTCTCGTTGGGTAAGTTTGAAGGTTTTACGGAGGCAAACACGTGTGAGTTGGTCCAATATATCACGTATATTGTCCGGCTTCACTAAGAAAAGCTATTTCAGGCCTGACGAAGGTGCTAGGCACCGAAATATCGCAATAATTTTGGAAAGCTTTTGAGATTAGTTCTTTTGAAGCTTTTTGAAATAATTTTTTGGAGCAAACTGTTGTTCAACATTTAAAGAAGAACTGTTAAATACTAGGCAAATTGTTGGGACACTAGGCATTTTTGTCATCTTTCGTGGGTTTGTAATAAACAAAATTCAAATTTGATTCGCCCAGTATCACAAGGAAAGAAGAGTTCATGTGGTAAGATGAGTAGAGGTGTCACCTTATAAATTCCGCTTCGGTACCAGCCGAAATCTTCATACACAGTGAACCCAGCGACAACTGGTCCGTTTTTCATAATGTCCCTCTGGATAGCTTTCACCGAATTTGGCAATCGGTAAGAGGTTTTACCTGCAATATTTATTTATTTATTTTATTGAGCTGAAAAATTTGTTTGAATCAGATTATAAGCAGCCAAGAACTTGTGAAGGGTGCTTTATGAAATACGAGTCGAGCGGGTCGATTTCAATTCCGTCCAATGTTGAGTCCTTTGGAGAAGGATAAAAATGAGTAGTAAAGAACCTTACTCAGCGGGAAGTTTGCGATAGTTCATGAGCATTTCCTCTCCTTATGATGCGAGAAAGTACGACCCTTCAGAAATTGCGCCATCTCTTCCACTACAAACGTGTGGAAAGGGCGCTGAAAACTTATGAACTGCATTTATGCACATAAACCACATAGACAAATTCAAGCCAATTGTGGCTAACATGTTGTCTGTCTCGTTCGTCCCTTGCCTTGTCGTCTCAGAAGCTATTCTCTCGTCTCGGCGCCTGTTTTCTTGTGTATAAAACTATTCGACTTATAGACTCATTCATCGTCCACAAAGGAGGTCTTCATTCTCAGTGTTATCAGCACTTCGATTTTTCTACAACCTTGTCAGTAAGTCCTGCGTTTTCCAAAAGAATAGGCCTTTAGAAGGCACATCGGACTATTGCACCGAGTCAAATTATGCACCATAAACATTGCCTTTAAAAATTTCAAGCCGTTTTGTTCTTCCTGCTCTTTTTATATTCTCTCCTAGCAAGTATCCAAGTCATTTGGTATCTAATGCGTGCTCTTTCTTCACACACAGCAGTCATTTTTGTGCCTCTTAAAGGAATTCTTCGCGGAAAAAATCATGCTCTTATTCGGGCCATAAATCGCTGACTTGAGACTCATTATCCACGATAAGAATAGAACAGAAATATTGCTTTCGTTCCAGTAAAAAATTCAA